ATATTGTAAAGGTTAAGAAGATATATATAAAGAAACAATAGTACTAAACAACTAATAAGAAATAACCATAGAATAGCAAATGATGTGATTAATGTTGGGTAAACAGGTTAAATTAACATAAACAATGTTTGAATAAAAGAAATGAGTATAAAGAAAGAATAAAATGAAAAATAAAATAAGATAATAATAGTCTTAGTAATTTCAATAAACAGGATAATAAATGTAAAAAGTATTAAACCAATTAAAGAGTTCAAAATGAAAATTAATAGTACAAAAGAGTCAAAAATGATGTAATAAAGAATGATTGTAATTATGGAGTATTGTTTCTATACCAAAAAAATTCTATATGGATAATTAAAAACTGTATGTGAATAATCATCACAGTGTAATGAACAATAAAGAATAAGTCTGTTAACACTTAATTACTTTCTTTTTATTTAATTTATTTTTTTAAAATATAAATTGTTCTATAAAAGGAAAGAACTTAAAATTAGTAATGACTTGGTATAACGTTGGAAGAGATAAAAATATTGAAGAGAAAAAGAAAGAACTTAAACAAATTGAAAGGTTTTGGGTAAAACAACAATTATTTCTGAAAAGACTTTCTACAATAATGACAACAATCCATGATGAACTCAATAATCATTCTGAAGAGTTATCTAAAATGATTGACTCAAAAGATTATCATCATATTGGTTTGTTTTCTTTAATAAAATGAAATGAAAAGTCAAAATAGAAAGACTTATAAATAGAAGTCAAAATGATAGAACAATTTATTGGTGCATTAAATTTTATTTCAAATGACTTCGAGTTAAGTGTAGAAAATATGAATATTTCATTTAAAAAAACAAATGAAATTTTCCAAAAGATTACTCAATTTTTTAATAAATTTGAAACTGAACCAGCACAAAATGATGAAACTACATTCACATTATATCAAGGATTTATTAATAGACTGGAATTTTTAACTCCTAATTATTATCTTAATTTATTTAAGTCATTTGAAATTCTTTATTCAATTGGCAATTCATATTTTGTTGAGACATTATTTGTAGATGAAATTGAAAAACAACTTCAAGAAGTTTGTTAGTATTTTAGTTTAAATTTAATAATTTAATTCAGTAAAAAATTCATGTTAAATAGAAAAATATTTTAATAAATAAGCAAGAAGAAGTTATTCCATATACAGGAAGAACAATTAAAGAAATATTAAATGATGAAAAAAGAGAACCAAACCAATTACCAAAAGCAATTGAAAAAATGTTTCATTGTATGTATGAAAAAGGGTGTTATTGTAAAGGGATATTTCGTGAAAGTCAAAATGCATCAATAAGGAAAGTTGAAGAATTATATATGAGAATGAGTGTAACAAATTTTGAAGATATTCCAGTAGATGTTATCGCAAATGTCTTAAAGAAATTTCTTAGAAATTTACCAGTTCATATTATTGATAATGAAATAACTCAACAAATATTTTTTGAATGGAGTAAAATAAATAAAAATGAAAGTATTCCTGAATTAAAAATAATTCAAACTATTCAAAATATTTTATCACTTCTTCCTATTGAACATCAAACAATATTTAAAGAGTTAATGAAATTATCATATAAAATTATTTCATTTTCTGATTTAAATTCAATGAATTCAAAAAATCTTTCAATTTGTCTTTCAACTAATTTAATGACATTAAATGAACCAGAACAAATATCAAATACTTATGACTTTACAAATGACTATACAATTTGTATTGACTTTATTTCATTTTGTATTTCAAATTATCCATTAATATTTCCAAATGACGTTGATGAAAAATTAAATAAAAGAATAACTTATTTATTCTCTTCTGAACAACAATCAAAATTATTTTCTGAACAAAATATAAAAATTCAAAGAAAGAAAACAAGTAAATTAACTGACAAATTATTTAAACCAAATGTTGTTGATGGACCTAAAAAAATTGATGTATTTGATAGAATAACTAAAAAACAACAAATTAACCAACAACAAAATCAATTAAATTCACAAAAATTAATTATTGATAAAAGTTTTCCTTCAAAAGATGATCAATCCACTATTAGTCCTTCTCAAAATCTTCATCAAAATTTTAACACAACTTCACCAAAAGATATTATAACTTCTAGGTCTTCTCAATACGATTCTTTAAGTTCAATTAAAATTCAATTACCAAAACAGCCAAGAAGTACTTTTGATTTTGTAGAACTTCAAAACCAACAAAAATTATCAAAAACTACACCAATTATTGCATTAGTCAACCTCCCTGACATTCAAGAATCACAAACTAAATCTCAAGATGATGGTACTACTGACAACGAACCTATTGACATTTCTTTCAAAAATCCAGAATTATCTTTTAACAGTATTGATAAAATGATTTTTGAAGATAAAACAGATGAGAATGAAAATAATAATCAAAACGAATTCATCGAAATAACTAAAAAGGCTTTGGACGACGAAAAAAAAATACACCAAGAAGAAATGAAAAAAATTGAAAAAGAACAGAGGTTAGAAGAATTACCTCCTATAAATACTACAACTAAAAATGAACAGCATAGTTCATTAAAATTTACTTACAACGAAGCTATAGGAACATACACAAAGTCAAATCCAATTTTTAAGGATTAAAGAGCCAAAATATAATTATTATAACGTACTATTTATTTATTATACTTTTGAATTTATTTTACGATTGTGTGTAATAAAAATTTCATTCCACTTCAGTTTTTCAAACTTTTTTGTTTTTCTTTTCTTATTATCTTTTTTATATTTTTTCTATATTTTTTGCTATTTATCTCTTATTTTTATTTACACTCTTGTCTTTCCCATATTTTACAATAATTATTCCTAACATACTTTTTCATATAAATCTCATTTTCTCCCCTTCTCATTGTGTATTTTTTATTCTTTTAAAATATGATCAATATCAGTACTTCATATATTTATTTTCATGGATGTAGTTTAATGAATTTATTTTATTGTTGTTTTGAGTACTTTTTATATTGAAAAGAAAATGAAAATAGTTATAAATCATAAATAATATGTTGTTTTAATACAATTATGCATTGTAAATAAATAAAAGTAATAAATGAAATAGATGTAGAATTAGTACACATATAAATTATTAATGTTATAATTGAAAATAAATTATTATCTAATTCTATTGTTTCTTATTATCAATTATTGCCATTGTATTATAGTTTTATAATTATTAAAGTTAGTAATGAAAATAAATAATATAATAAAAGAGTCTAATTAAATTTATTTTGATTTTTCATTGACACTCATTCTCTTTATCTAAGTTAATTTGTTTTACTGGGTACGAAAATTAGCAAAGAAATAATGA